GGAGGGAATGGGAGCATCAGTGCTTGCCAGCACAACCAACAGTGCAGGAACCCTCGCAGCCCTCCAGCACCACATGGTTGCCACATTCTAATTAGCCAACACTTCATGCTGCAGCGAAACTGCCCAATGGAGTGTTGGCACCGCAGGAATCTAAGATTCCCTGTAATTGCGGGCAAATCCACTTGGAACGGAACAAGTAAGAATTGCTTTCAGTGTTAGTTTCGTTACAACGATGTGGAATCAGTGTACTTGGGGGAAAAAGTCTGAAATTTCAGTGTGGCCTAACAAAAAAGGCTGAAAGATCAGTCCCACAAAAATCTCAACACTGATTTTTCAGTGTAGGTAAAAAAAGGACTGCCAAAATCAGGAATTTCAGGGTTTTTTTTCCTGATATCTGAGGCCCTGGGCCCAACATCGGCCCAGCCTGCCGTAGCTCTGCTACGCAAATTGTGCCAAAGCATTAAGGTGTTGCTTCAAAGGTGTTGCTCTATGGCAAGCATTGCTGCAGCCAGTCTATAAGGGCGGGAAATTCTGAGAGGATGCTGTCCGGAGTCCACTTCGGTGGTGCCTGCTGCAAGGTCGAGTCAAAGCAGGCTGCGGAATAGTAGGCAGACGATGTTGACTTGATGGCCTGAAGGGAATTTGTCGGGGCGGGTTCCGGCTTCTCATAACACTGCATCGGTTATTAACGGTTAAAAAAAAAAGTGGCAATTGGAGGAGTGGAGTTAAGCAACTGGAAAAAATATCAAAACAAAACCTAACAAACAACCAGGAGGAGACAATAGTGCTGAAAAATCGCAATTCTTTTGGCGGATACTGTGAAAGTAAATCATCAAGACTCGACATTGATAAAATATATTGAATTGAAAAGTGGTTCACAAATAAGTGCAGGAAAACCACAGGAGGATCACAACAGGACTACAAGAAGACCATACGAGGCACACAAATGCACCACATGTGAACCACATGTAGAATCAAACCCTATCTTCAACGACATAACGTTCCTCTGGTTTCTCACATAACGTTTTGAAGGTGATGTTATTGAAACGTCCCAACTTGTATACATACTCAGCCAAATGACTGCATTTCTGATTATAAGCAAAAAGAAGGACAAAAAGGGGTTACAGACATGAAACCAGTTAAAAAAATTGGGATGGGGGGTCATACCTTCATCATCTCCCCCCAGCAGGTTGGGAAAACACTGATGCTGGTGACAAACCCTTCAGGCTGGTACAACATGCGCACATTCATCTCATTGAGCTTCCATGTGAGGCGGTCGCCTGCAATCACCCACGACCTGATGTGCCACACTCCCATGAGAACAAAACGACAAGCTGCTGGTGGCGATGCAGCTGCTGGTGCCGTTGGTGGTGGCACACGTGGTGGTGTCCAAAGGCAAGTTGACTCAGGCATGGTTGAAGAGCGGGGTGTTACTATGGTGGTATCCAGGTCGAGGTCTGTGGTGCACGGCCAGTGCAGCAGCCACCCTGAGACGCTGTCAATGACTGCCGTTGATGCAATGCCCTCAAAGGCAGCCTGAATGGCGCCCTGGTGTTTTGAACATGGAAGAGAACAAGGGCAGAAACAAATCTCACATAAGCGTGTGAAAGAGGCACAGGCTCTGAAGCACTCAGCCGCATCTGATTGCCATGCCATGGAGGTGTAAGGAGGGATGGAAAACACGAGCATCACAACCGAGGGGACGTTATACATGCAAGAGGTTGACATCATAGCCAGCACAAGCGTATGCATACATACATATGAAATCAGCAGAGCACGCCTCGACCGTTTCCCCCTTCACTCTCACGCTCTCACCCCTTCGGCCCCCACCCATCACGCGCACGTAAAGTGAGCAGACTGGGAAGACTGCTTGCAGAGAAAAATGCGGTGATCCCCTCACCACACCTCCCGACCCCTCGCACACACGCATGTCAAGCGAGCAGAGGCGGGACTCCTTGCGGAAGAAGACGCGGAGATCCACCGCCTTTAGTCTAGCCCTTCACTTTACCCAGGACCCCCCACACCCACACCCCCATCCCCATAACCACCCCCTCACTCCCCCCCTTGACACGCACATCCAGCGAGCAAAGGCGGGACTCCTTGCGGAAGAAGACGCGGAGATCCACCGCCTTGGTGGGGCGGGCGACGTCGATCACTGCATAGCGCGTCGAGTTGCACTTGACCTTGGGGTTTGGTGAAGGGGTTAAAACACAACGGGAGAGAAGCTATTGGAAATGTGGTGGTTAAGGGAAGAGGTGGCCATGGGGTGAGAAGCTTAGATGTGCGGGAACGATTTGAACATGGGGGGTCAGAGAAGAAGATGGTAGTGAGACGCACCTTAGTGAGGATAATTCCTGCACCATCAGGGTGAGGCACACAGATCAGCTTGTATGTTTTGCCAGTGTTGGTGTCTCTTATCTGTGTTAATTTCGTGGAGGACAGAAAAAGAGGAGCTGAGAGATGGAAGAATGGGAGACATTTTTTATGTACGCAGTATGCAGTGGTAGTGTGTTTGATGAAGGGTAATGAGTGCAATGGAGGGTAGATTAAGTAAGCTTTGAAGTTGAGAATCAGCCTGTATACATGCAGATTGCTATGCCCTGTACCCTTCATTGCACCACAAGTCGTGCGTTCAAAGCGACTACTGCGTGAGTCATGCCGACGTGCTAACCAACCAGGCCAGGACACGTCTTGACTGGTAATCTCCTCCACGCAACCTGTGCGCTCATCTCACAACTTCTTAGCAAAACCAAAAGCGGCCTTACGAACAAACACATACCCGTATAAGGCTCTTGAGTAAACTCATAAGCACAAAAGCATACCCGCAGATGGTAGCATCTCTTGGTGCCTGGCCTCCTGCTGCCCTCCTCCAACGCCATGCCCTCCACCGTTTTGAGCACCGTCTTTGGGAAGCCCTTATCGTAAATGTGTTTGACGGGCACCGGCAAGTGGCGCGCCTGCTGGTTCACATGCGCTTCAAACGCACCCGCTGTGAAGGGCGGTAGACCGGGGAGGAGAGTCCTGGACATAGGGATATTGCTCAGGAGCAGAACAAACAAAATCGTGCTAAGGCCCAGGCCCCAGGTATGCCCGTCACTATCTTTAAGCTATTGACTAACTGATACAAAGGGAATCGAATTTCGCGTTTGGTTTGGCATCGGAATATGATGCCAACCAACCAGCCCCCTTCACAACGCCTCAAAACGCCTCAAGTTGCCTCAAAAGGCCTCAAAATGCCTCAAGTTGCCTCAAAATGCCTCGAAATGCCTCAAAATGGCTCACATTGTCACACATCGTCCCACGCTCACACGCAAGGCAACATCTCGCCACACACACGCATACAGACGTACGGTGGGCAATCCCCAGGCGGTTTGAAGAGCATCTTGACGAGCGACACTGCCAGCTTGCACCGATCCACCACCCGAGGCTGGCCTATCCGAGCCTCCCCACCCACATGCATGTCTCTATGAGCGGCCTCTAATGACTTATGGAGTAGGCCCACTACAGAGGCGGATAAGGAGGGCAAGGAAGAGGGAGAGAGTGTGTGGTGAGAGAGAGAAGCATCAGGAGGAGAAGAATCTTCAGGTGGTTTGGTAGTGCCATGAGCTTCTGTTTCGGAGGCTAGTCTTAATGTGGCAAGATTCCGTTCCCCATGGTGGCCAATCCCTATGAACCGTTCGAACCTAAGAACCACTCGGTTGCAGCTAGCGCTTCCCCCGTTACAAGAACAGTCCCCGTTACAAGCAAGCTCCATTTCAGGCGATCTCCGTAGGAGATAATCATCGACTAAGGTTTGGATGACAACACTGGGGGAATCTAACGGTTTCATTCTTAATGAAAAACTGCTGCCCCGTCCCCAAGGCTGACCGCGGCCCCTGCCTCGGCCTCGTCCCCCGAGCCTGTTTCCCGAGCCAGACATCGAGCCTCCATGACGGCCTTGACCTAAGGCAGCTGCTGGTGGCATGGAAGCAGATTCGGTAGAAGCAGACCCGGTAGTGGAACCGGCTGCGCCAGGTCGCCTATGCGGAGGAACGTACGGCATGATGAGGTAGCAGGGACGAGGGAAGTGGAGGAGGAGCGACGGAAATAAGCGCTGATACTTATGACAGAAAGTGGGGAGGAATTACTACGGGAGAACTTGCAAGCCAACCTACTAGCTGCAAGCCGGCACAGCGCAACCGCCTAACCTTTGTAATAGCCGCCCCTTGAATACGTGCGTTTCTGCCAAGTACTTCCGATAGAATTTGTTAGGACACCTAGGCTGTGCTGGGCGAGGCACGCGGCTGCAGCGGATGACGTGATTTGAACGACGAGCCGACAGTAGCTAGAACCGTTGATCAGGCCGACGCATAAGTGATATTATGAATGTCCATTCCATTTCGCTCAGCTCTTAGTGACTTCCAACCTTCGATGCTCTCTGTTCGTGGTGGTGAGTTCAACTAATGTACTGACCACGCCGGCTTGGTGTGCTCAAAAGCAATAAAAAATTCCTACAACAATTTGAGGATCATATTAGAACACCTTTGGAAGTCTGCTAAATCGTACCTGAACATTGTTTAACCGAACTAAACCACGTGGAGTGGCGAACAAATGTAGCTGATATCCGACTTCGAAGTGCTTGATCAGATTTCCATCCCGTCGCTTTGCAGCCACAAATATTATACACACGACTCAAGGCGATGCTCCTGGTTTTAGGTCTTCGGAATTGGCGGGCGCCCTAAATCCCACAACCATGGTCCACCGCTCTCACCGACGGATTGAAAACAACGAGAGAGAGAAACAATCCCGCACCTAGCACAACACTGCAGATGCGGGAGGTCTCGTTAGTAGGGTCAACTCGTCAACGTCGGCAGCAGCAATGCGGATCGCCGCATTGAACTCGGTGCACGGGAGCACGCACACATAGGCTGTCGCCCGCCGTGCCGTGTCCGGCTCGTTGTCATCCCATCCGTAGCGCGTTCCACTTTCCCTCGTCCCAGTCGTTGCCGGTTCCGCCCCTCATGGAGAATCAGCCGCCCTTCGTCAGCAGAGGCGCGCCCGCAGCGTTTCCGCCGGCGGGACCTGTTTCGTGGGCGCAGGCTGTAGCCGGGGGCGGCGGGGTGACTGGGGGAGGCGCGGTGACCGGGGGAAGCGCGCAGGCTGTAGCCGGGGGAGGCGGATTTGCGCCCAGCATAGTATGGGGGGGAGGCGGGAGGTCGCAGCAGCAGCAACCGGCGAGCAAGTACGTTTATCATCGCCGCATCGTCGCTTCACTGTCACCTCGTCGTCGTGTCGCGTCACCGCCCAGTGCGCGCTCTCCTTTCCATAGTCCCCCGCGCATGGCCCCCTCTCGCACGTGCGCGGCGCTCGGTCCCGCCTTTTCTTCTCCCCGAGGTCGGCTTGATCCACCGTCTTGTCCGGCCGTTCCCTACGGCCTCCTCCTTCGCTCCTACCCCCTCCTCCTCTCAACCATCTCCTTCCCTCGCCTGCTCCCCATTCCCTCCCCTGCTCCCCATTCCCTCCCCTGCTCCCCATTCCCTCCCCTGCTCCCCATTCCCTCCCCTGCTCCCCATTCCCCAACTCCTCCATCCCGCCACTACCACCCCCCACTCCTCCCCGTTCCGCCCATCCGCTCCTCCCTCCCCCCCGAAGCTCCTTGTTTTTTCTCAGCTCACCTTCACCCCCTTCCTCGCCCGTTTCCTTTTCGCCCCTCTCCTCCTCTGCTCCGCAGTTCGCCAGCTGACTTTCCCGCGCTGACGTCAGCAAACCGGTCCCCATCTCCGCCACTCCCCAGATCCGCGCAGCAGTCCCCCTCCCCCCCGCGCGCGCGCCCCCCCGGCGGCGCCTCCGCCAGCCTGCTGGGGGACGCTGCTGCGCTGGCGCGGCGCAGAGCGAGGTTTGGGGAGGTGGCGCCGGGGGATGGCGCGGAGGAGGGGGGGGGGGGCGCCAAGGACGGGGGGACGGGCGGGGGAGGGGGAGACGGCGGGGGAGGAGGGCGGGGAGGAGGAGGGGGAGGAGGGGGGATGGCGGCGGGCGGGGGAGGGGCCACGGAGGAGGGGGAGGGGGGAGGCGACGAGGCGGACTGGCAGCTTGCAGAGGCGGTTGTGGGAACGTGCCCTGACATGTGCCCTGGTATGTATGTCTCTGCTGGCTCTGGCACTGGCATCCATGCATGCAGGGTGCTTGCTTGCTTGCTTGGTGTGTATGTAGGTAGGATCATCCTGAATGTTTCTATCTCAGGGGGGACTGGGAAGTGGAACCATATCTCTGCATGTGTTCTCACACTCAGCACAGCACAGCAACACATGTGCTCCTAGTAAACCACCCCCTCCTTCCTTTCCGCCTTCCCTCCTCCTCCCATCATTTCTATCCTGCACTCCTTTCCTCCCCTCTCCCCACCTGCCCTCTTCCCCTCCCCCTCCACCCCCTTCTCCCCTCCTCTCGTCTACGCCTCTCCCAACTCCTCCCCCCTTCACTTCCCCTTCCCTCCTCCTCGTTCCCTCTCTCTCCTTCTCCACTCTCCATCCCTCCTCCTTCCTCACCCTCCCCCACCAGCACAAGAGAGGGAGGTGAGGGAGCGCAGCGGTGCGCTGGACGTGTTTGAGCGCGTCAACGGGGATCGCAGCAGAACCAACGCACAGCTGGCCATCAAGAAGGTGGGGTGTGGTGAAGAAGGTGGGGATGGGAAGTGAGTGTGAGTGTGAAGGGGGGTGGGAGCACCTTTGTCAACAGGGACCGCAGCCGGACCAATGCACAGCTGGGGGGGGAGGGCGGGTATGCATGCAAGTGAGGAAACACAGGTTCCCATTCCGCTTCACCCCTGCCACTGTCCACCACTCCCGCATCCACCATCTTATTTCCCCACCTCTTTCAACCCATTCCCACCCACTCAACCCACCCGCCAGCCGATCCCACCTGTTCCCACCCACACGCTCTTCTCACCCTCCCTTCCCCCACCTCAACTATCACTCGCACGCCGAACATCAACCCCTCATTCATCCGCCCGCTGCCCATGCTGCATTGCACTCCGAGGCACCTTCTACCACCTCCAGCTTCCCCCTTCACCTCTCCTCCGCCCCCCCCCCTCCTCCTCCCCTTCCCCCGTCCCAACTCAGTATTCCCGTGCGCCCAACATGGACCCCTCGTTCATCCGCCCCATGCCCGTGCTCCACACCACCATGGCGCACATGCTCTCCCTGCTGCACCTCCCCTTCCCCCCTCCGCCCTCCGCGGCCAAGGGGGGCGCGGAGGAGGGGGAGATGGAGGGGGAAGGCGGGGGGGAGGAAGCAGGGGGGGCGGGGGGACCGGGGATGCGGCTGCTGCTGCTGCACTCGTTCCTGTGGGATCGCATGAGGGCTGTTCGCGCTGACCTGCGCATGCAGCACCTGTTTGGACGAGAGGCGATCAACATGCACGAGCAGATGGTGAGACATGGCTGCTGCCTGTGCTCACACAGGGGAATAGCTGCTCCATGAAAGCCGTCTTACTTTTTTTTCATTCCATTCCATGCAGTGGCTATGCACGACGACCTGTGCCTGTGCACGGCCTGGTCAACAACAGGTAATCCCAGGGGTTTAACATCGAGTCGTTGCACTCTTCTCCCCGTTCCCCTCCCTTCTCCACTTCCTATGTCCCTGTGCACTCCCCTTCCCATGTCCCTGTAACCAGCACGAGCTCTGTGATTACCCCACGCGGGGACTCGTTCCCAGGGGCGCATTCTCCTACCTCTCTCCCCCCCCCCTCCACGCTCATCTCCCCCACCCCCTCACCCTTCCCCCACCTCACCCCCCAGGTGCGATTCCACATAGTGGCGATGCATGAGCTGTGCGAGTACCCCAAGGGGATTCTCCCTCAGGGTGGTTAAGTGGCTTTTCCCTACCCTCCCTGCCCCACTTCCCCCCACACCCTCAACCCCCCTCCCCCAGGTGCGGTTCCACATAGTGGCGATGCACGAGCTGTGCGAGTACCCCAAGGGCGAGGGATTCAGTGACGGCTTTGACGCGCACCTGAACATCGAGCAGATGAACAAGGCGTGTGTCGACCTCTTCCACATGTACCACGACCGCCGTGCTGACCTTGAGCACGCCCAAGCGATGGCGAGCGAGGGCGAAGGCGGGGAGGAGGGGGAGGTGGGGGAGTTGGAGGCGTGTTTGGCGCAGGAGGGGGAGCTGAGAGGGTACTACCTGCTGCTCAAGATCGACCGCCATCCAGGGTTCAATGTGAGTCGGTCAGTAGATGGATGGGGGGACAATACGCTTTTGATGACCATTGCATTTGTAAATACGGGTTGCTGCAGAAGTGCGATTCGTTGGGTGTATGAGAGAATGAGCCGAGATTGATAGCGCATGTTGCCTGAACATGAGTTGAGTTGAGATGGATGGGTGACGCTTGTTGCCTGCACATTACCCCCCAGATGGATAGGGTGCACATTATTTTCAGCTAGTGCCTGTATTATTCATAGTACATTCCAAATTGACTTAAATGAAAGTTAGAGTGCTTGGGCAAATTTTTGCAAGTCGCCTTCATGGTACCTCAATAGCGTTCTGGTTACAACATCAAATTTTGTGCTATGAATTGCGTCTTGATGTCGTCTGCCGGAGCTCCATTGATTTGTGCTACATGCCGAAGTGACTCTAGTGCACGGTGCTGTGACTGACTGTGATTGTGACTGTGACTGTAACAGGTTGAGCCGGCAGAGTTTGCGAGGGAGCTCTCTCTCCTCCCCCACATCGTCAGGAGCAGCCCCCAAGTCGTCTTTGCTCGCTCCGTTGCAAGGTGGGTTTGTTCCGAACATTCCAAATGCTCTGGGGGCTGGTTGCATGTGATAATAGCATGTGGAGCAGCCGGCCGGCTAACGTGGAAGTTCTGTCTGTGACGCGCCCGTTACCCCTTCACTGACTTGCGTGCTAGCCAGCCGCAAACCCCTGTAGTGCTACACCCACACGTTGAGGGATCCCCTCTATGGGGTTGTTACCAATTGAGGCAATGTCGTTCATTCTGTTGCTCATGCCAACGGGCATGTCTCCATGTACCAGCCTTCTCCGCTTGGCGCCTTCCTCGATGCTCATTTTGTTTCTTTGTCTCTTGTCTCTGCTTCGCGCGCTCTTGCTTTTCACCTTCACCTTCTCTCCCCTTCCTCCCCTTCCTCCCCTTCCTCCCCTTCCTCCCCTTCCTCCCCTTCCTCCCCTTCCTCCCCCTCCTCCCCCACCTCCCCTTCCTCCACGTCCTCCCCGTCCTCCTCTCCCCTCCATCCATCCACCCCTCTCAGGGCGTGTCGAACGCACAACTTTGTGGCGTTCTTCCGCTTGGCTCGCCAGGCCACCTACCTGCAGGCGTGCCTGATGCACGCGCACTTCAGCAAGGTCTGTGCAAAGTTGCAGCGCTGCGGGCTCACTGGATGGCGGCGTTCAATCATAACATTGATATCATGGAATTCACTGGATGCTCATTGCATGCCCTCACCACGTAGAGCTTTCTGAAAGCCCACTGATTGTTCCACCAAACCCGTCCGTCCACAGTGTACGCCCTCTCCCTCCCAACGCACTAGTGCATCACCCTCTCTTTCTCATGCGCGCATCGCCCTTCCCTTCCCCCTCCCCCCCATCTCAGATGCGTTCCAGGGCGCTGGCAGCGGTGTATGCATCCATTGCCCTCTCCCTCCCCCATCTCCTCCCCTCCATTCCCCCCCTCCCCCTCCATTCCCCCCCTCTCCCTCCCCCCCGTTTTCCCACTCCCTCCCTTCCCCCTCTCCCTCGTCTCAGATGCGCTCCAGGGCGCTGGCAGCGGTGTATGCATCCATTGCCAAGGGCCAGCACCTACCAGCTCTCACACTCGCACACTGGCTCGGCATGGAGGTACGGAGGGCAGGCTCGACATGGAAGTATGGGCTGCTGGCTCAGCATGGAGGTATGGTCTGCAGGCTTGGCAAATGGTCTGCGGGCTCAGCATGGAGGTATGGTCTGCAGGCTTGGCAAATGGTCTGCGGGCTCAGCATGGAGGTATGGTCTGCAGGCTTGGCAAATGGTCTGCGGGCTCAGCATGGAGGTATGGTCTGCAGGCTTGGCAAATGGTCTGCGGGCTCAGCATGGAGGTATGGTCTGCAGGCTTGGCAAATGGTCTGCGGGCTCAGCATGGAGGTATGGTCTGCAGGCTTGGCAAATGGTCTGCGGGCTCAGCATGGAGGTATGGTCTGCAGGCTTGGCAAATGGTCTGCGGGCTCAGCATGGAGGTATGGTCTGCAGGCTTGGCAAATGGTCTGCGGGCTCAGCATGGAGGTATGGTCTGCAGGCTTGGCAAATGGTCTGCGGGCTCAGCATGGAGGTATGGTCTGCAGGCTTGGCAAATGGTCTGCGGGCTCAGCATGGAGGTATGGTCTGCAGGCTTGGCAAATGGTCTGCGGGCTCAGCATGGAGGTATGGTCTGCAGGCTTGGCAAATGGTCTGCGGGCTCAGCATGGAGGTATGGTCTGCAGGCTTGGCAAATGGTCTGCGGGCTCAGCATGGAGGTATGGTCTGCAGGCTTGGCAAATGGTCTGCGGGCTCAGCATGGAGGTATGGTCTGCAGGCTTGGCAAATGGTCTGCGGGCTCAGCATGGAGGTATGGTCTGCAGGCTTGGCAAATGGTCTGCGGGCTCAGCATGGAGGTATGGTCTGCAGGCTTGGCAAATGGTCTGCGGGCTCAGCATGGAGGTATGGTCTGCAGGCTTGGCAAATGGTCTGCGGGCTCAGCATGGAGGTATGGTCTGCAGGCTTGGCAAATGGTCTGCGGGCTGAGCATGGAGGTATGGTCTGCAGGCTTGGCAAATGGTCTGCGGGCTCAGCATGGAGGTATGGTCTGCAGGCTTGGCAAATGGTCTGCGGGCTCAGCATGGAGGTATGGTCTGCAGGCTTGGCAAATGGTCTGCGGGCTCAGCATGGAGGTATGGTCTGCAGGCTTGGCAAATGGTCTGCGGGCTCAGCATGGAGGTATGGTCTGCAGGCTTGGCAAATGGTCTGCGGGCTCAGCATGGAGGTATGGTCTGCAGGCTTGGCAAATGGTCTGCGGGCTCAGCATGGAGGTATGGGCTTCACCCTCTCCCCTCCTTCGCTTTGTTTTATCTCCTCTATTCGCTTTCCCACCTTGCTCCTGTTCACTTCACCATGTGTCCTCTTTTCACTCTTCCCTCCTCTCTCCTCCTCTCCCCTCCTCTTCCCTCCTCTCCCCTCCCCCTTTTTCCCCCTCTTATCTTGGCACCAGCAAGAGCCAGAGAAGCTGCAGGCTCTCGTGTAGCACCACGGCCTCGGAGGAAAGCTGCAAGCAAGCAAGCACTCATCTTCCCTCCTCTTCCCTCCCCCTTTCTCCCCCATCTTTCCTTTCCCCCCCTCTTCCCATCCCCTCCCCCCCCCCCATCCTGGCACCAGCAAGAGCCAGAGAAGCTGCAGGCTCTGGTGGAGCACATGGCTTGGGAGGGAAGCTGCAAACAACCACTCATCTCCCCTCCTTTCCCCTCTCTCCCTCATTCTCCCCCAACTCTCGCCCCCTCCCCCCCACCAGCAAGAGCCAGAGAAGCTGCAGGCTCTGGTGGAGCACCACGGCTTGGCTCTGCACCCCTCAGACGCCCCCGCAGATGCCACCTACCCAGATACAGCCTCCCCCGCGTCCGCCCTGCTGGCCGGGAGCTGCCTGGTGAAGGGCGCCCCTCTGATGCAGGCTGGGACGCCCATGCCTCCCTCCTCGTCTGCTCTTGTGCACAGCAAGCAGAGCCGGTTTATTGATGATGTCATTTCTGAGGTCAGCGGTGGGGGGGGAGGAGGGGGTGGAGGGGAGGAGAAGGGTGGCGAGCAGGTGGAGAGGCAGCAGAGGGCAGAAGAGCAGCGGAAAAGACAGGAAGCGTGGCTGCAGAAGCAGCAGCAGCAACGACTGCAGCAGCAGCAGCAGCAGCAGAAACTGATGATGGAGCAGAGGCAACGGGAGGAGCAGATTAAGGCAATGGAAGAGAAGCAGAGGGTGTTAGAGAGGGAGATGGAGCGAGAGAGGGAGCGAGTGAGGGAGCTTGAGAGAAGGGCTGCACTCCAGGCACAGGTGAAGAGGCAGGAGGAGGAGAGGAAGGCGAGGGAAGAGGAGGAGAGGCAGCAGAGGGAGGCAGAAGCAGTGGAGAGGGAAAGGAGGGAAAAGGAGAGGGAGGAACAGGTGAGGCAAGAAAGGCGAAGGAAAGAGATGGAGATGAGGGAGAGGATTCTGAAAGAGAGAGCGAGGGTGGAGAGGGAGAAGAGGGAAGCGGAGCAGAGGGAGAGGGAGAGGGAGGAGAGCAAGAAGAGAGAGAAAGAGAGAAAGGAGCGGGAGAGGAGGCAGCGGGAGGAGGAGGAGAGGCAGAGGAGGGCTAGGGAGGAGGAGGAGAGGGCGCGAGCAGCGTTGGAAGAGGCGGGGCGGAAGGCGAGGGGTGTGTGGCTGCGGTGCGTTGTGAGGAGGTGGAGGCAGAATGCTGCTCAGATGGGGCAGCTGCGACGGCTGCGCCAGCTGGCAGTCAGTGATTGGCAGCTGGAGGGCTCGATTGCTTTGCAGCCGACTATGGTGGCATCCAAGGTAATATGTGCTGTGCTGTGCTGTGCTGTGCTGTGCTGTGCTGTGCTGTGCTGTGCTGTTGTGTGCTGTGCTGTGCTGTGCGGTACTGTGCAGTGCTGTGCTGCGCGGTACTGTGCTGTGCTGTGCGGTACTGTGTTGTGCTGTGCTGTGCTGTGCTGTGCTGTGCTGTGCGGTACTGTGGTGTGCTGTTCTGGTGGTGCTCCTGTGGGCGAGCAGTTTTTCTATCACTCTCAAAAATACCCAGTGAGTCCACCAAGGTATTGTGTGTGCATTGCTGGTGGGGCTGTGCTGTGTGGGCGAGGCACAGCTGCTGCTGTAAACGATGCACTCTTGTTCTGAGCACCCACTCTTTGCTGCCAAGAATCCACACATGGGACACTAAAAGGGCCCTTCTTGCTTCTCGCCTCCCACACTTCCGGTTCCCCTGTCCATCCCCCGATCTCTATGTGCTGCTCTCCCTCTCGCCATCGCAGCAAGCCCCGCAGAAGCGGTTGCGGGGAGCATTAACATGGGGGCCGCCAGCACTGGGCAAGGCAAGCGCCGACCGAGGGGGTGCTACAGCAGATAGCGTGCCTGCCCTAGCACCACCCAGTGCCGGTGGCCCCAGGTTCCTCCATCCATCTACCGCATGGGGACCAACAGGCTTCGCTGCTCCAAATGCATTCGCTGCGCCCTCTCCTATAGATGTGGCACGGCTGGTGGGCTGTAGGCTTGCTGGCAGGCAAGTGCCGTCGAGCAGTGCTGGGCTGCTGCTGAGTGCGCGCCGAGTCGTTTCATGGAAACTTCTTGTGTGTTGGCCGGAACGCGAAGCGCAGGTGTGTTCATTCGTTCATTCTTGTCATACCGATGTGGAACCATCGAGTCGATGTGGAACCATCGAATCGATGTGGAACCATCGAGTCGATGTGGAACCATCGAGTCGATCTGGAACCATCGAGTCGATGTGGAACCATCGAGTCGATGTGGAACCATCGAGTCGATGTGGAACCATCGAGTCGATGTGGAACCATCGAGTCGATGTGGAACCATCGAGTCGATCTGGAACCATCGAGTCGATGTGGAACCATCAAGTCGATGTGGAACCATCGAGTCGATGTGGTGCCATCCATCATTGCTGCCTTGTGCCACCAGGCCTCCCATCGTGCGATCCAATTGTAAATGACTCTCATGGTACCCTGCATGCCTCAAGCTACGTCTTCATGTGTCGTCCTCCTCTATCTCCCAGTTAAGCGCTTCTGTGTGTGTGCCCTGCCTGCCATACCCGTGGTAATCAATTATTCCATCCCGTTCCAACTCACTCCACCCCATTCCACCCCACTCCATCCTCTTCCATCTTAAATGAACCCCACACAAAGGCATGTCTCTCCAACTACCTCTCGTGACTTTCCCATCGCAAATTCATGTGGTGCTGCAGGACACGCCATCACCAGTCCGTGATGCCACACACTGGCTCTGCAGCACCCTCTCTGCCCCCCCCCACGCTCTCAACGCCCTCCAGCACCGCACAGAACCACACAGCACACTTCGCAACAGTTCATCTGCCGCGCAGCCCACTGACCCGTCGCTGCTCGCATGCTACGTGGGTCCCATGCCACACCGCACTGCAGCAGGGGAGACAGCACCCAAGCTGCCGGGTGGTGCATCAGGTGCTGCTTCAGGTGAAAGCAGGCGAGCAGGAGGAGCAGGGTCAGTATCCGACTCGCTTTTCTGGCTCGTGGTGAGGAGGGTCTCAGCAGAAGCGCAGGGAGGGGATGGTGGAAGGTTCCTGGAAGGAGCCCAGGCGATGGTGTGTGTTGTGAATGGCAACAGCAATGCAGGGCCCCAGGTGCAGCGCATCAGAAAGGCCGTGGCGTCGCTCCCAACCTCCCTCACTCCCATCCCCCTGTTGCTCCTCGTCCTGCCTCCCCACCCGCCACCACCATCATCGCCAGCAGCAGCAGCAGCAGCAGCATCCATGTCTCTCTGCACAGGCCCCTGTGCCCCTGTGCCCGTTCCCTCCTCCTTCGCCTCCCTCACCCTCTCCCACTTCCAAACTCCCTCCACCCGTCCACCACCCTCTCGTTCCTCCCCTCCAGCCACGTGCCTCTCTGCTCTCCGCATCCTCCCTCTCGGCCGATCTACTACACCTCAACCTGATGACCTGGCTTCTCCTGATTGGCCTGCCAAGATTGCCCTGACAAGTGGCCTGCGGTGGTTGGCCGATTCCTCCCCTCTGCCACCTCAGCTTGCTCCAATTCCCCTCCGCGATCTCGTGCTGCGCCACCTGTCGCCATGTGTCACGCGGCTACTGGCCGTGGACCCCTCACTGGTGCGGCCACAGGAGTGCATCACTGAGTTCAACGCCAGCCTGGACAGCGCGGCCAATGACATCTCGACAGCTGTCGCGGCCTCACCCCCCTCCAGTGGAAATCCTTTGCCTGAACTGCCTGCTTTGCTGCAGCTGATGGGGGGACATCGGGGCGAGAGACGAAGGGAACGCACAGGAGAAAGCAGACGCGGTGAGATGGAAGAGAGCAGAAGCAAGGCGGACAGCGCAGCTTCAGAGGCAGCAGGTGGACTAGATTCCTCGCTGCTGCTCGCTTTCCTGCCTCCCCCTGACTGGAACAGCCCGTCTCGCACCTCCAACCTCAGCAGCGCCCTCTCCTCCCTCCGCCTACCCCACTTTCCCGCACTCCATCTCTCCTCCCCTCAGCAACCCACCCTCACTTCTCCCTCCTCGTCCCCGTCACCCACCCTCGCCCTGCCGCCCCACCTGTCCTCTCTAGCCCCCCAGCTGCACCCCCAGCTGGCCCCGCTCTCGACCGCACTCAACTCCTTCCTTCGCCTGCTGCAGGGCGATCAGACCTCCCCAGTGCTTCTGGCGCAGCAGGTGCAGCAACTTCTGGCAGAGGGGTGTGGAGTGGTGTGGAGGAGTGGGGCGGAGCAAGGTCAGCGCGGGGAGCAAGGAGGGGAGCAAGGGGGTGTGGGGAGTGCGAGGAGTGCAGGGAGGTTGTGTGCGGTGCCAGTGTGGCCGCGCATTCTTCTCCCTGTGTTCATACGTCGCCTGGATGCTCTCTTCTCAGACCCTCCCCTCACCGCCTTTGTCCTCGCACCCTCTGCTCTTGCTGCTCACACTGCTGCTCACACTGCTGCTCATGCTGCTGCTCCCCCCTCCCTTGCTCCCTCGAGCCAATCCACTGCTGTGGTGCCTGCAGCTATGGCAGTGGAAGGGGGAATGGAGGTTGGAGCCAGTGCGGTGGAAAGTGGTGCAGTGGGGTTGGGCAGCATGCTGCCTGTGAGTGCGCTGACGAGGCAGGAAGGTCTCGTTGGGACGGGTATGGCAAGGGAGCTCATCAGAACCAGTGGCAGTCCGTGGGTGGGTGCTGCTGCTGCAACGAGTGCAGCAAGCGAGGGTGTGACGGTCGACAATACAGAGGAAGACGAGGGGAACGAGGTGGTGTCATCAGCAGAGCTCCCCCCTTTGCTTGCAGCCCCAGCAGCTCCTTCCTTGCCGTATTCACTTGGGCCATATCAATCCCATGTGAGCAGTAAAGCATGGCATGCAAGCAGTGTGCCCATCCCCGGTCTCCCCACGTCTCTCAACCTTCTCCGCTCCTCCGCCCCCTCCTATGCTGCTGCAGCTGCTTTGGCCCCTCGCACCTCTCTCCTATCATCCCGACCCACCCCCTCCCCTTCACCCTCCCCTCCTCCATTGCTGCAGCTCCCCCATCCATCCGCCCACACTGCCCCCATCCACCAACCGCCCCCACACTCCCACCTGCCTCCAGCCTCACACCACGTGCCCCTTTCTCTCTCCCGCACCAATCACGAGCTCTCTGCACACATCCTGCCTGTGCCATCCCAATCACAACACAGCCTTGGCCGACATCCACCACTTCCTCTTTACAAGCCCGGCTCGGGTTCTGTTTATAAGCCTGCCACTCAGCACGGGTGGGAGCGTGGAAATCAAGTGAAGCGCAAGGCACCGGCAAGTGCATTGAGTGATGGGTATGGCAGTGGTGGGCGTGTGGGCCGTGGGAGTGGGAGAGAGGGTGATGAAAGAGGAGAGGGTGAGGACAGGGGAGGCATGGAAAGAAAAGGAATTGAGAGAGGATGGGTGGAGAGTGAAGGGAAAGGGAAAGCGGAGCATTGGTTCGGCCCAGGAGGCAGGAGGCAGCAGATGAGGCTGGCAGAGGCTGATGGTCTGGTAGCCAATGAGATGCTGCCACGTGGCATTGTGCGAGCTGCTGACGTGGTTGCTGCAAGTGGTGTTGGTGAGGTTTTTCCACCGGCTGAAGAAGCGGCCAGATTGGGCGGCCGAGTTGGTGATGCGGGTGATAGGCATGCAAGCGGCATTGCTGTGGGTCTCGGTGATGGAGGTGGTGATAAGGCAGAAGGGTTGCTGAGCGCAGGTGCAAACGAGCGAAGAGTGAGAGAGATGGTGGAGGAACTGATGAAAAGGAGACAAGTGACAGCATGAACAATGTGGGCATGCATATGAAGCAGACTACATTGCACTGCTACCTGCTCATGTGCTGTACCTCTCTACCACTTGATTAAAACAGGGCCCACCCAGAGTTTAGAGCCCTACCCTTTAAGGGGGGGAAAGGGGCCAGATATTGAGCCTGGATGACGTTACCTTGCGTGAATTCAGCCATGCTACTGTTTGGCCTCCATCGCATGCACAGCAGGGTATACCCTAGCCTCTGCATTTTACTGGTTGCGACCATTTATTAAACTTGAAACTTAAAACCATACATCAATTTTTTTCACATCATGCTTACAGGAGAGAGCCCATCCCCATACACTCCACGCAATATGATATCAGCTAGGAGCTCCACCCACATATCTGTGGGACCAGGTGTGCAATAGTGGAGGCAGTCTAGAATGCCCCTCTCTTCCACAAAGCCTTTGTGCGAGTCGGGTCTCAAGGCTGTGGCAGTATCCACATCCATGTACACTGCTCCCACATCATGCATCATGCCCCGAACCATCTTGTTCTGACGAGTAAACAAGTCCCAGTGGAACGGCAGAACCTCCGGGTTTTGCCGTTTCTTGATGGGCCCAATGTAGGTGGTGCAGTTGGCATGGCCGGGGGGGGTGTTCCTCCAGATGATGAGCGCGTCAGGCAGCTTGTTGCGAAGAAACCCCAGAGCACCCGCCACACTCCTCTCGAAGTCCTTCCCTCCAATGAAATGCGCGCCTCGGTTCACCACCACCACATCAGCATCTCTCAGCCCAGAGTACAAGTGCCATGGAATGTGGTCAAACTTGGCTTCTCCAGGCGAAGTGAACCACAGATGGTCGTTCCTCACGAATTGAACCTTGAGGCCGGGACAAACACTCTCATTGAACGTGTACACTCGGCAGTAGGCATGCCTTGGGGGCTCCACCAGCCAATCAGAGCACTCCTGGGGAATCGTTTCATTGACAGCCCACACGGCAGGTTTGGGAATGTGTCTGAGAAGGCCGTTGAGGAAGCTCACAACCATCTGGTGCGCCAGGGAATCCCCCAGAAACAGCACATTCAGCCCGCCTTTCCGCCCCTCCGCTTTCCGGCAAAACGTATCCCCGTCAAACTGCCTCAGCGGGCCGATCGGGCACTTCCCGGGCGGCGTTCTCCACTCGTATTTGAGCGACTCGCGCACGCTCCACCCGCCCGACGCGCCTCCCTCCACCACATACCGGTCGGCTTTTTTCGTCACGAGTCCCCCGGTGGTCTCCTGGTGGCGGTGATCGCACAGGTTCATTGTACCGAGGTACTCCCAAGGGAGGATGCGCGGCGTTGCGTTGTACGCCCACCGCCCGCGCTGACTCACGCACCGCAGCCAGCGCCGGAAGCGGGCGGCGGACTGCAGAGATTGGATCTGCGTGCCGGGAATGAGCGGCTGCTTACTGCTGGATGCCTGCGCCAGCTGTGCGGCTCTCATTCGCCGGTCGGCGGCTGTCAGAAGTGCCTCCTCTACCACTTTCTCATCCGCCGTTAATGCCTTGCCCACCACTCGAGCCAGAAACATCGCTGCTGCCTCCACTGCTCCACTCCTCCACTCCACCACACCCTTTCCTGCACCATCCTCTGACCCTTTTCCTTTTCCCCCACCTGCTGCTCCTTCCACAAAGCTTCCTCGAATCACGCGGTGGTGAATCTGGCAGGCGGCTGCCAGGCTGGCGACTGAGTCAGCGATGACCGCATCCACCTCAGCGGGCGGCGGGCGGAGCTCCAGCAGGGCAGCGCGGGGCGGCAGAAACGCGAGGTTGACGAGAAAGGGGCTCGTGACGCTGACAAGCAGCGCCGCCCGGGGAAACAAATCCCGGGCGCCATCCCTCTGGAACCGCCCCAGCAGGCTCACATGCTCCGCGCCAAACCTCCCCTTCAGCCCCGCCACTATCCCTGCAAACCCCTTCACCTGCACTGCTGCTGGTGGCTCCAGCACAATCACCTCCTTCACCCCACTTGTCTCCCAGGGGGGTATGGCGGCGGGGGGGGAGCGGGTCTTCGGGGAGGTGGGGGGGAGGCGCTCGGACCAGTCAGGGTTGAGGAGGGGGAGACCGCGGGGCTGCAGGAAGTGCGAGGAGCGGAGCCTGGACCAGAGGGAGGGGCTGGGTTGCTGACAGTGCTGGAACGTGGGCTGCACGGAGGGGGAAAGGAGTCGCGGAAAGAGGAAGAAGAGAGGGGTTTCAGGAAGTGGGAGGAGAGGAGTTTGGTTCACAAGGAGGGGCGGGGGTGCTGTTTTTGCGGCGCCTCAAGAGGAAGCGGAGAGGGGTTTCGGGAGGGGGCTGTGGGGGAGGGGGAGTGGGGGAGGGGTGTAAAGGAAGAGGAAGAGGAGACGCCAAGGGGTTGTAGGAAGTGTGAGGAGGGGAATTTGGTCGAGAGAGAGGGGTGGGGGTGCTGGCGGTGCTGGAAGGAAGGGAGGGGGAAACCGGGAAATGAGACGGTTTTTAGAGCACGCTTGATCTGGCACCTCAGGAGTGGGAGCTTGAAAGATGGGTGAGAGGGGCATGTGGGCGGGCATGGGTGCGGTGTGTGTGGAGTGGGGATGGGCGCACCTGAATGAGTGTTCGCACGAAGAGGAGGCGAGAGGCATCCCCAAAGGAGAGCATGCGACCCATGGTGATGCCCACCACTCGAGGTAGCTGAGAGGACAGCATCACATGCCACGCCACATGCCATGCCACGTCACATGCCACGTCACATGCCATGCCACGTCACATGCCACGTCACATGCCATGCCACGTCACATGCCATGTCACATGCCACATGACATGCCAACCATGTCGCAGAGATGAGCACACCATGCAACGTGCCATGTAATGCCATCACAGCCCATGCATGTCAATCCATTCATTCCATACAATTCAGACGACATGGCAAAGGAGAAAAGGGAGAAGAGTACCTGGGAGAAAACGTCAAATGAGCAATAGGAGCTTCTGGTGCTCTCACGGGTTGGCTGTTCAGCCGTGGGGTTTAACACTCGGCAATGGAATCGGTAGCACCACACGCCCAGCACACGCACTTTCTTGCTGCACATGCCAAGCGCACAACAGCGCACACACCTTCTTGCATTGGATGGGGGAAACAACTCGGCCATGGGGTAACCAGCTCGGCCATGGGGTAACCAGCTCAGCCATGGGGTAACCAGCTCGGCCATGGGGTAACCAGCTCGGCCATGGGGTAACCAGCTCGGCCATGGGGTAACCAGCTCGGCCATGGGGTAACCAGCTCGGCCATGGGGTAACCAGCTCGGCCATGGGGTAACCAGCTCGGCCATGGGGTAACCAGCTCGGCCATGGGGTAACCAGCTCGGCCATGGGGTAACCAGCTCGGCCATGGGGTAACCAGCTGGGCCATGGAATCGCTATCCCCGCCAAACCAGCATACGCCCTTCTTACAGTGCATGGCATGGCAAGTGCTGGCTTGCGAAATCTCTTCTCTTGGGCACGCACGAAGCAAGAGCGGCAGGTTCCGATAGAACACAGCTTGTTTGCTGGATTGTTATGGTTTTGTATTTTATGTGAACTTTTCTTGGGCATGACGAGTGCCGGCCGGCTTGCTTGCCAGGAATTGACTGAGTAGACATCATCCTTTTGTCTCTGTTATTTTTCCAAGAGAGTGATACACACCTTTTCTTGAGTGCAGACGAGTGCTGGCTTGCCCTGCTTTTCAAGCAAGCGGGAGAACAGCAGGAATAGTCCAAACGCACCCCCCACACACAACACGACCCTCCTTATTTCATTCTATTGTTTCAGTGCTTATGTGAGCGCACCTTCTTGCCGCGCATGACAAGCGCGGGCTTGCCGTGCTTCTTGAGCACGCGGGAGAGCGGCAGGAAGAGCGGCACGAGCTCCAGGACCTCGTGGAAGGGCAGCCGCGCTCCGGGCGTGCCGCCGATCACCAGCAGGTTGACGAGCGAGTTGTACGAGGACACTCGCGTGCCCGCCTCGTAGCGGAACTGCCGGGGGGGAGAGGAGAGGGAGGGAGAACAGAAGAGTAGGGGGGTTCTGAGATGCTCCTGATGACCAGCGGGGTTTGGGAAGGTGGAGCGTGCCTGCCTTGTAGTGGAACTGCAGCAGAGGGGAGGAAGGGGGAGAGCATGCATGGGGAGCCGTAATTCACATCACACGCACATTGTGCAACGCAAACACCCAATCGGACACCCCTTTCCATTTCCCCTCCCCTTCGCTCCCATCCACCCTCTCCCCTTTTTCGCTCTTCCCCCTCCTACCCCGACCCCTCCCTTCCCTCACATCCCCCCCCCCCTTTTCATCCTACCCCTTCAACTAAAACCCCATCATCCTGCCAACCCTTCTTTTTCGTCCCTCTCTCCCTCCTCCCTCCCCCACCCACCCACGCGCACCTTGTCTTCGGCGAAGCAGCCGTTGGGGTTGAAGACGTGAGTGGCGTTGAACACCTGCCCCTTGTTGTTCACATACACGTCGTGCAGCGCAAACACCCGCCCCGACCACACCATGGTCGGCGCTGAAGCCTTTTTTGCCGCGTTTCCGCCTCCCCCTTCCTCCCCTTCCACCTCTTCGCCCTCTGCTCCCTCTTCTCCCCGTTCCTCTTCCTCTTCCTCTTCCTCTTCCTCTTCCACTCCCCCGTACTCGTCGTTTTCTTCGGGTTTGGTCGTGGTGCCGTTCGCCGCGATTCGCGGGGCGAGGTCCATGTAATCCGGGTTTCGACAAACGGAGATATCTTCGAAACCCGCGTCTTCGCACATCCGGAATTCCGGGCAGCGGAGGGCCTTGGCGCAGGTCGCAAACTTTCGCCTGCTGGTTACCGCTTTAAGAGCTCGCCGACCCTTTCGCGAGAGAATGCTTGGAGGGGGATTAGGGTTGAGATCGACCACTTCAAGGCGCTTGCTGTCGATCGCTTTTCGCAAATCACCCGCTGATGCGTAATGAGTGCCTCGTTTTCGCCGAGATGCGCCTGGTAACCAGTCGCTAGCGGAAAGCAGCTTTCGCCGGGCGCTGTCACTGAAT